AATCATAAAGAATGCAACAATGTGAAAACATTTATTTCAGTCAAATGAGAAATCGAATAAATACAATCCAAAAGCTCACATAAAAGTTTGCTTTACTGTATACCCCAACAGGAACATGCTGGCATGCACTATGCACTGCCAGCTGACGGCTTTCTGCGGGCAGAGCTATGCGCAATGCCCAACAAATCAATACTTAACATGACCAATGGAACATGGATGGTCGTGGACGTGCGCTATGTGCGTAGCCCATGGCTTTGGCCACTTCTTCGACTACTTGATGATTTCCCTCGACCATCCTTACATAACTGAACATAAAATACCATATATTGACCGAATAAACATGAAGTGCTCGAGAGTTTCAGAATAAAAATGAACATAGCTCGGCATGGTCTACTTGGCACAATCGAAGAGAATTATGGCATACTCATGGACTTAACTTCATGATTTGAACCTAACATGATTATATTATCATTGAAACAGAAGTAAGAAGAGATTACCTCTTCCGATGCTCAATCAATTGTACCTAACTTCCAAGCTAGCTCGTCCCTTGTACATCTTGCGTGCATGCGTGCGTGCGTGCGATAAATGATCTTAACCTAGCTTAACTTCTAACTCTCGTGCTTAGTGTTCGGCTTAAGTGAAAGCTGAATTTTTCCACCCAACTTATCATATAAATAGCCGGATGAAATGAGGTAAGTAGAGGTGAAATTAGGAGGAAAAGTTGTGGCCAATGGTCGTGTGCCACTTGCCATGCTCTTAAGGCCTAAGGTGGCCTTTTACTTGCTTAGTCATCTATTCTCTAGCTTAGTCATCTCCCAAGAGCTCTAATATACCTCCACATTTTCATGGCAATGATGATGGTTGAAACATTGACCTTGCATCCTATGACTTACGGCCCTCATGCATGATAATTTTTCTTAAGCGGCCTTAGCACCACATAAGCGTGATCATATCAATATAATTGGCATTTGGTGCTAGGCACAATTAGCATGCATATAAGCTATGCTTAACTAACCATCCTCGGCCATTAGCATGAACTAAGCGCGATCAATAGCCGATTATGCTCGGTAACGTGCGATTAAGCCTGGATCAATTTATGACGTATGAAATTAATTACTTAGAAATTTTCCGAGCATAAACGGGAATTTGAAAATTAATTCGAACGTTCTTGACTTGAAAAATTAGTTCCGAATGATAATGATCGATAACATAAATATTACGAAACTAAACACATAATTTACATTAATAACATAATGGGCTATTACAAAAGGCCCACTCAGAGTCGGTTGATCATTCCCTTGACTATGTGCAGCTCGGTTTGACCGTGGTCCAAGTTCGGCGTGGCAACTCGGGCCGGCACGAACTCGACTGACACGGCTTAGCCGATACATGGGTATGAAAGGGTGCCACGGTCACTGACGCAGGGGCGCTCTTGGACCACGGCTAATGGATACGGCGTGAAGACGGTAGGTCGGATGGACTTGGTGCACGGGCACGCACTCGGTGGTTTGACGCGGACTCGGTGCATTGGCACGCACTCAGTGGTTCAGCTCCAACGGTCGGACGAGAGTCGAACACGTGCGCGAGACGATGATACGCGACAAAAATTATTGATACGATGGCAAAAAAATATTTAAACGGTATTAGGGTTCGGCCAATTATAATCAGATCTGAAAAAATAGCTGGTTATCGGAACCAGATAAACTAGTGTTTTGATTCTCGAAATCCTTCATTTAAGGCCGATAATTAAAATATAATTTCTATGTGATTTATAATGAATTTATAATCCACAACTGCAGCTAAAATCTCAATCAGACTAATATCCTAAAATATCGCGTTAATGGCTGAAGTCTTGATTTTTAATCTAAGTCAAACGGTATCCAAAATTCATGAAATTCGAAATGTAACATCCTCAACATAAACGTGATCTACGGTCAAAATAACAAGTCTAAAATCAACCTCTAGACTAGTTAACTCAAAATCGCTACGACCGGTCAACACATTTGACCAGTTCGTTTGCCTATCAAACGAAGTCCGAAAATTCTAAAAGTCGGATCTAAGCCTCAAGACAACGCAACAAATTTAATGATATTTATTTTGACATTTTATCACGTTTATTTAAAAAGTCCCGATTAATCGCTTCAAGCCCGAAAATCCCAATTTAATCAAAATCGCTCAAATCAGCAATTCAATTTTTCTTATCTCATTTATCTCATCAAGTCTAAGCCATAAAAATCGAGTTTTAGCTATTATACCTTAAAATGTTCAAAACGAGCGGATGGGGAATAGATCGGGCTACGAAGTGAAGGAACAATGAAGCAACCGGTTCCAATGAGGGATGCCCGAGTCGTATCTCGACTATGGAGCTGTTGAACGGGCTAGTTTTCACGCATTGGGCTCGGATCATAGGAGCTCGGCACGGATCTGAGCTGCTCGGGTGCAAGGCGTACGAATCCGGGCTCGATGCACGCGTGAACGGACGTCAAACGCGCATGAACCGGGTTGTGACCGGAAATTTGGGTCTGTTCTGGAGAGCTGGCCACGGATCCGAGGTGTTTAGGCGCAGCTCGTGCACGGGTGGTGCGGATTTGAGCTTGGCTGTAGTGGCCTGCGCGCATACGGGCACAGAGATGTTGGCTCGCAGGTGTACGGACACCGAGCTGCTGCTGGTCGCATGAACGTGTATGGCGCTGGTTCATGTTGTTGGAAAACAGAGCTGAGGAAGATGACTGCTGAGCTCGTCGTGATGGCCTGCTCATCGTAAAAGGAGGACGACGGCGGTTCTGGGCTCGCCGGAGGGGGTGCGGAGCTCGTCGGGGCATGCTGGAAGAAGGTCGTTGGCCGTCGGAGCTGTGAGGAGATGGCGGCAAGCTGGTGGTTGCGAGCTTGCTGTCGCCGGATGAAGGAAAGCTCGCCGGATCTGTGAGCTGTGAACCGCGAGCTCGAGCTACGATGGACGGGCTTGACGTGGAGGTGCTGGAACTGCTCGCCGGTGGAAGGTGCTGTTCTCGCCGGAGAAGACTAAGGTGGTGGCAGATGTGGTTGAGCTCACACGGACGTGAGCTGAGGCTGCGGTTTTTCCGGCGGGCTGAGGCGGATGCAAGCTCGGCGTGAGCTTGGTCGCTGGCGTTAAGGTCACCGGGCGGCAGTTCGACGGAGCAAGGAGGTCGCCGGATCTTGAAGGTGGTGGTGCTATGGTTGTGTTTGAAGAAAAAGCTTGAAGCTTGAGGTTGAAGGCAATGAATAGTATTTTCTCTCTCTTGAAATAAGGGCTGAAAGGATAAGATATGAGTGGTGTAAATGAGCTTAGGGAAAATAAAGAGGATGCTCTATTTATAGAATGTACTAATGCTAGGGTTTCTCGCTCTTGTTGGGCTTTTTCTCGGGCTCGAAAATAATTGCTACTTAAACCATTTAAATAGATGTAGGCTCGATAAATACAATTAAATACTGCTTAGAAAATTTAATCGATGGCATGGATTGAAAATTGGCTGACTGATTGGGCTCGAAATAACAATTTGACTTGGGCTTAAGAAAATTAGGCGGCTCAATTTAGGAATTTAAAATGCTCGGCGAACATAATATGACGGGCTTGGGGTAATAATCTCAACTTGGGCCGAAAATAATATTGGGCTCGGAATTAAAAATACTATGAGGGCTCGATTATTTAAAACAAACAATCGCTTGGGCTTGGAATCAAAATTATTGGGCTCGCTCGAGAATCAAATAAATTCCCGACTTTGCTACTACGCAATAAAAATAATTTATCGAAGCTTAGACTTAGGATTTTTGTCTCATTTTTGTAATAATAATTCGAACGTTCTTCTTATGGCTTAGACTTTACTACTAATTATTTATTTTAATGCAAATAAATATAATAAATGCATCAAATTTAGAAACTCAATATTTATGGAAATATAGTCGAGCTCCATAAATAGTAAATAAAAATCTGGGCGTTACAATCTATCCTCCTTAAAATATTTCCATCCTCGGAAATGCCAAAACTAAACATAAGTCCGACTCGACTAGAAACTAGGAATCGAAGTATACATGGTACTAATCAGAACTGAAACTCTGGATAACGAGCGTGGATCATATCCTCTCACTCCCAAGTGGCCTCGGCCTCGCCGTGGCAGCTTTAGCGAACGCGGGCTAGTGATACATCTCTCCTCCTCAGCCGTTGGACCTTCCAATCCAAAATCGCTATCGGCTGACCCTCGTAAGTCAGGTTCTGCCCGACCTCGAGCTTTCTAAATTTCAACACGTGCTCTGGATCATGCACGTAATTTCTCAACATCGGCACGTGAAAGACGTTGTGCCATCCGAAAACTCGGGTGGCAACGCCAGCTGGTATATCACCTTGCCCACTCGATCGAGGATCTCGAATTAGCCTATAAAATGGGGATCTAGGTCTGACACTATGATCTCGGTTACTCCGTGGAATCGAGCAATCCCATGGACGTAAATAATAGTAAACCGCTCCATGGTCATCGTCATCCTCACGGGCAAACGCGGGCCGACTTCGCCAGTTGTTCCACAACTACCCAGACCGCATCGAGCTACTCCTTCGATTTGGGTAGTCCTGTAACGAAATCCATGGTAACGTGCTCCCACTTCCACAATGGAACCTCTAGTGGTTGCACGAAACTAGATGGAAACTTATGCTCAGCCTTCACTTGCTGACCAACCAAACACATTTTCCACGAACTCATAAATGCTAAACTAAGGTATATGTAAAAACTCTAAACCTTAAGGCCATATACAAATGAATCTCAAGACTAGGATTTCTAACTATGAATCCTGTCTTCCTTCTGCTAGTGATCTCGACTATGCCATGGCAACCAGTTTCAAGCCCCCAAGTAAATTCGAACTAGTGACTCTTCTTTCAAGCCACCATAATTTACCCGACCTTATGGCTATTATACACTGTTAACCCAAGTTCAAGAACTGGGGTCTTTATCTGGATACTGCTATAGGGCGGTACCGGCATCGGCCGGTCTTGCTGGTACTCGGCGCCATGGCGACTTGCTAAAATCTCACTATGTGCCTTAGATTAAATCCAAGACAAAACCTTAGAAACTATACTAGTGAACTTCAAAATAAGCTCATCTATACTCTCAGCAGCATCGCCCTAGCTATGGCGACACTCCTGGACTCAAAGAGACCTACTTATCGGCTCTCTAACTAGAGTACATTCCGCCACACAGTGGCCGTAGGCACTATCTCACGGGTCAACTCGGATCAACATGAGGCTCATCTAAGGTTTCCACGTTATCAAGCTCGAGTACATCTTTTCGAATTTGATACGTGGGGAAAATCGCTCAACATTTTCGGAGAATTTCGGTGACAAAGCCTCAACTGTTAGGCTTAGCTCGCCGTCTCGGTGATATGTTGAAAATGACTGGTGTAACAAAATTGTTGCTTATTTGCAGTCGTGACCCTCAGGGTCATCTTGTCGTTCACACTGGTTTGAAGGTTTTTCTGTGGCTGGCCTGTACGCGACTTTAGTCGGTTCAGGGTTGCCTTAATTTCTGCATGGATCGCTGATCTCTTCTCTATTGTCTGTCGATCTACGATTGACCGAGAATCTTTCTCTCGCTATTTCTTCCTTGTACGTCAGCTTCCACACTTGTGTTCGTACTAAATCGTACGATACCATGTCCATCAACTTTTATTAACTATTTCTGTAGCCAATCGCTCTTTCGAACTGATTTGTCATTCAGAACGCAAGCCTCTAATAGTTCTGATCTTCCATTGATTTGTAATATTAATGAGGACAACTAGCAATTGCGGTTCGAATTGCTGTGACTCGGCTCTTGACGATGCGGTACGTTGCACACGGTACGCTGCATGCGGCTTACCCACTACCCGGGGCCCATGGGCGCGGAACACCTGCATGCTATACCTGCTTGTGATGTACCTGCGACGTCATTGTCGTCTACAATCATAAACACAGTCGTATCCGCGTCTTATGCTAGTGGCTTCACTGTACTGCGGCACTGAGTTAACTCGGCGCACTACTACTGGATCTAACTTTTTTTTTATACAAATCGAGGGTCTCACTACTTATATGGGTAAAATTTGCCCAAGGGTACATAAAATTTCAATGTTGAGGCTTTTCTGTTCTTTCTTCGCTCAACGTCTAATCTAAAGCTAGTGATGTCGTACACCACTAGTACTTAGAGATGACTTCATCACCTCAACTTTCTCGTGCTTTTTGATCTTGAGGCTTCGGCCTCCTCAATTTCTCATAGAGGATGTTCGAGCTTCAAGTTAAATCTTGGAACTTGTTGTCTTCCCGCATGGGTCGACAACTTTTCGACTCTCAAAGGTGAGTACTTTCTCTCCTCCTTGAGTCTACATAAATCTTGGTAATTGGTGCACATCTCCTTTCTACATGAACCACCGGGCGCACCCTAGGGTGACACTCTTGGTCCAACAATTCACAATTTGGATCTTGGTCTTCAGTTCTTGCAGCTTCTTGGTGTCTGGGTCTTCAGCTCTTGCGGCTTCGAGGAGTATCTCAGTTTGGTGCTTTTGTCGCTAGTCCTATTTCAGTACCAGGTGAATCGAATTCCATTTGTCGGTCAAATGGTCATCTCGGCAACATTTTGAAAATACGTACACTTGATTTCGAACAATGGTAACTCTCGGGATATTGTCAGTGAAGTGTTCTCTCTCTTCATGGCTTCTAGAATTTTCCCTATCGGCATATTGTCCATCTGCCCACAACTCCCAACTCGAGAGTTGTGGCATTTGGCACAGTTATGCGAAATTTATAAGTCTTTGTCTTCTTAAACATGTTATCTAAACTTCCACTCGGCTTTCATTAAATTCTCTGCGAACTATCGTCTGAGAATTCTCACACTATTAGAACTTCCTTGGGTGATGGCTCCCTTTCGAGACGAATGAGTAAGTCGTCTCGGTGTCAAAACATGAATAGACGTGCAATATTCTCTGTAGCTTCCTTTAAACTTGGTCTCCTCTTCCTCTAAACTACTAGAGATCAACTCATATGGAAAATATGTCTGCTATGGTTCAGCTTCAAGCCTCCATGGTTTCTCTCGGACTTATGGCTTTTATTTCAAGCCTCCAGGACTTACCCGGATCTATGACTCTTATACACTGAAAATCTATTACTTATAATACTAGCTGGAAGGCATCTCGCCAACTCAAGTTAGGTAACCTCTAGAGTTAGAACTTAACTCAAAGTTTATATAGTTCAAACAATAAAAAGTCCACTTCTTTACCTATGTGTTGCAATCCATTTGCTTATTAATCTAACTTTTGCAAGTGCCGAATTATAGCAATAACTCGATTTTTGCGGTCTTTATATTATGGACTGCAATGAAATTTTCGGTCTCAACTTGGAATTTTAACGGAGTTTTCGAAATATGCAAAAAAATTCCCGCAACAAAAGTGTCGCGAGTTCACGGAACATGGATAATTAAACTACACGCATCTTCTTGAGTCTTCGGGACTTCTGCTTCTACTGGTGACGGGCGTAGGCGCTGAAACTTTGTCCTCCTCATTGTTCCTGAGTCGGCTATTGCTTGTTGGGTTCTGCCATTTTTGGCAAAATTCGTTGGAATGTAGAATTTACTTCGTCTTAATTCCAAGGTTCGAAATTGATCTTATGGTTCTAATATATCGCCACGATTATCCTCGATACGTAGTCAAAGGTACTTGCCCACAACATAATCGAGACTGTTTCTAGAGTTATATTCCGCTCTGTCCTCAGAAAAGTCAGTGGTAGAGCATACGTGTAATATCCCGACTTTTTATCAGTATAAATTATATTTTTAGTTCCGATATTATTTTTCGGAGTTAATTATTTTCAGTCAGTTCAGTCAAAATTACCGGAAACTATTTTCGACGTACCG